ATAAAGAAATTTGAATATACACACACACACACACACACACACACACACACACACACACACACACACACACACACACACACACGTCAAAGTCAAATTCATTGTCAAACTTTCAGTTTGTGTGTACAGACAGAGAGATCGAAATTCCGTTTCCCACAATCCCGAATATAAAAATACAAACATGTATAAAATATGTATATCATATATACATAATCAACTGACACATTTATACATATGCACACATTAAGATAAAAACACAACAACAATATATACAAAATAGCAGACACACACACACACACACACACACACACACACACACACACACACACACACACACACACACACACACACACACACACACACACACAGTCCAAATAAGGTGACATTGTACATTGATTGTGAACATGGAGCTCCATAGAACCATTGCATTGTGATTATAGAGACCCTTACTCAGTTGTTCACAGCTTTGGGTATTTCAAAATGTACTTTGAGTCCTAAAGTCTTTCTTTAGGACTACACTGATCCCTGGTGGCAAAATTAATGGTTTGGCAAAAAATATTTGAGACACACATCCTCAAGAACACCGCATCCATCTTGTTCAGCCACAGGGTTGTATAGGAACTACATTGATTAGAGAGAGGACCGATATTTTAACTTGAAGCTATTTTAGTAATTTTAAGAGAAAGTACTTAGTTGATCCCTATTGCAGACCATTTCATACAAGTTTTTAAGGCATACCGTTGCTCCCAATAAATCCACTGATCCCTGGTCACAATTTGATTGTATTTTCAAAAACATATTGAACCCACAAAAAAAACGTGTGTTATTTTGCGGCTGCAGGTTTATGCACGAGTACAAATGTGTACAAGTACAAGTGAAATGGTCGATAAACATCAAAACTAAAAGAATACATCTGAAATTAAAAGCCACATTCATGACAAATGTAGATTTATGTAAATGTTGATTTATCACAGGGCTGTTCATATGGATATTTCGTCCCCCTGTATGTCCTGTAACAAAATGTCACTGAAGAGTATGTGACAGAAAGGGGGATTTTAAAAGTGAAAACCGTTTTTTAAAGCGTAAATCTGGCGGGGGGGGGGGGACATTGGCTGAGTCTTTGGAGCCCTAAGATGAAACAGAGGATATACTGCAGCGCACACAAAGACTTATTGTGGGCGAGCGAGGGGCCGGGCTGCACGCGCCGCCATGCCCAGGGAGAGAGGGGGGAGAGAGGGAGGCGAGACCAGGCCAAAGCATGCCAGGATCAGAGGAAACAGAGGAAAGCAAGAGTTGCCAGCGCTGTATTATTGATGAGGCGGAGAGAAAGGGAAGGGGGGAAGAGGAGAGAGAGAGAGTATGGCTGCTTTACTACAAGATGAGGCCTGAACAAACATGTGGCGGTTGATCTGGATCTACAGGAGAATAAATCAACAGTGTCTGTCAGAAAATTACAATCAACGTTCATGAGTTTGTGCAGGTTTCTCTCTTTGGACACTTGATTGGTCACAGATTGATAGAAAAACCTCAGTCATTTCAATCAAAACATCCCAGAAGGATCTTTGAGGCGTGTTATCGGACAGAAAGTAACCACATTTGGATTTAATACCTCACTTAAAAAAGATAAAGAAATGACAGGGACTATTATTGGGTATAGAGAGACTCAAATGCTCAAACAGTGACGGAGGAAACTCAAGGGGACATGCCATCATATCCGTGTGTAAAAAAAGCATATTTCATATATAACGAGTTGACATGTTTTAATTTCACACGCTTTGATTTTAATTTCATAGCTTTGTCAAATCAAAGCAAATCTATAATCTTCTAAGACTTAATTAAACACATATTGTTCTGTAGGATAATGGGGACCGACGGTTTGTTCGTGGTTTCATTACCTGCTGATCAGTGCTGATGGTACCTGTGTGTCTTATGATGTAATGAAATCAGGATGAGAACAGGATTATTTATCCTAAGGGGAAATTGGTTTTATGACAGCTGCAATCATTTAAAACAAAATGGAGATTATTATTAACCAGGTCATGCTAAAAACGTCCAGCACTATATACTACTAAGTGATTGGAGTATTGCACTATAGCCTAAGCATTGTCCTTATTGCACCGTTTGAAAGGGTTTAAGCTGATGTTGTAGTCCCGGTGTAAGTCATAGTGTGGTTTTGAATATGTGTTTTCATTTTGTCCACAGAGCGAAGTCTAAGAATGGAGGCCGGTGTCTTCGTGAGAAATTAGACCGTTTGGGCCTCAACCTGCCGGCCGGACGGAGGAAAGCTGCCAACGTCACACTGCTCACATCCCTGGTGGAAGGTAAGGGATTTCTGCCTAGAATACTTTCCAATAACTTCTATATCTTATTCACAGCTTCAGATATATTCCAGGTTTTCATATTTAATTATTTCAGCTCTTGTTTAATCAGTCCTTCTCCTGGTTTTGTGCTCAGGTGAGGCGCTCCACCTGGCGAGGGACTTCGGCTACACCTGCGAGACAGAGTTTCCCAGCAAGGCGGTGGGGGAACATTTGGCAAGGCAGCACAGCGAGCCGAAAGAAACCAGCGCACGCAAGAAGATGGTCCTGGCTACAAAGTGAGAACACACATATTCATCTACACATGAATGGCGTAGCTAAGACACTGAAATAGTTTGCTTTTGTTACTTTTTGTCAAGAAAAAAAAGTATGTTTAATTCTGAACTCTCCTGATGACGATGTTTTTATAGGTTTCAAAAGTCAAAAGTTCAAGATTTAACTTTCCGTTTGTCTACAAGTTTATAGTTGTTGTTGAAAATCACACAGTGGTGCAACAAGGTCAAGAAAATGTATCATTTTGAAATTGGATTTTTCTCACAATTACATTTTCACTCTGCTCCTTATTTTCAGCCACTTTATAGCCATCCTACTACTAACCGTCTACCTTGAGGGAAACCTTTGATAAAAAGTGCTCCGACCAACAGCAATATTGACCTTAAGAGAGGCAGACAAAAGAAAAAAAATGTAATAGACTGTGCATTTCAAGACAATGTAATGCAACATCTTGCCATCAGGCTTTTGTTTGTTAAGGAAATCTAACAAGAACGGTTGCCTGTGGCGACTGGAAGTGCTGAAGGGAAACAGCTCCCACTCTGTACCAGCTAAAGTCCTCCCATCAAGGACTTATAGACTGAACAAAATAAAAAAAGACAGACCAAGAAATCAAACTTTTGCAGAATGTTTTGTATCATGTTGTGTATCAAATGTTTTCTTTGTTTTTGGATCAACATTGAACCTTTCTAGCTCCTGCCTGTAGTGTTTACAGGGGGGAATTACATATTGTGTTGATCCAAAATGAAGCAGGAACAAGTTGTTGTGTTGGGGACAGATGGTAACCCCTCCTTCCCTCCCTCCCTCCCTCCTTCCCTCCATCAGGCAAATCTGTAAGGAGTTCCAGGACTTATTGAGCCAGGACCGCTCTCCTCTGGGCTCGTCCAGACCGACAACCATCCTTGAATTGGACATCCAGAGACACCTCACACACTTCAGGTAACACACAAGCTCCTAAAGCGATGAAAAGTCACTTAAGATTGGGAACTATCGAGACAGTTTTCTCGGCCATTTGTAATTTGGCACAGATTACAGAAGAGCCGCTTGCTAGCACAAATGTCACATCTCCAACGTCACCCGTCGCAGATTACAAACCTATAAAAAGGAGATGTAGTGTCTATAGTTCGGTTGTAGAAACACAGTTAGACACAGACTGAACAGCAGTTGAGAGGTGTCCTGACATTTAGCTTTGCAAAAACATGCCTGAGGGCGGAGAGACCAGTATGATATTGGAAAATTGATTCTTAAAATCGATATTTTATGGTCAATGTTTATGTTTCGACTAACCTCATTTATGCACTATTGTTCTTCTACAGTATTGGAAAGCTTTGAGTTTAAGTCAGGTTTAAGATGTGTGCCATTAAAAAGTGTTTTATTGAGCAAATAGAAACTGAAAGGAAGGAATTACAGAGTGTTCTTTTGAAAGGGTGTATGTCAGTTTACTATCGTGGAAAACAAAGAAAAGCAGCAAATGACCACAAATGTGTGACATTGCCACGTATTGATTCATCGATGTCTATTACGGCCTAGCATTTGGTAAAACTGTTTCAAAATATAAAAGAAAATGTGTAGAGACATGGTGGAAAACATTTATAACATCACAGGCAATTAAAGCTCTGCTCTCACAGGGGTAAGCCTGATTAAAGACACTCTTTTAGGAGGATTACAAGCTCCATAGTGCAGGGAGAGGAAAGTTTAAAGTGGACCTATCATGCTATATTTGAATAATATAGTGTACGACCATACCTATATAAGGCATATTTATACTTTTAATTTTTCAAAAAACCAAACAGGTCATGCATTTTAGCCATTCCTCATTTCGCTCAATTTAACACTGTCTTTGCATGGGCTGATTCTGTGAGAACAGCACCATTTACAGGCCTGGCATATGTACTACAGCGTCTCCAGCGCTTTCCAACGGCAATGTCCGTGGCTGTCTCCTCCTGATTGGTGGAGATGGCCCAATAGCCGTAGCGCCACTTCTGTGACGTCATAGAAGTGTTCAAATCTGGATCAGTCTGTATCAGATCTGTTGCAGCCCCTTTTTAAGAGATTTGGGTATGGAGGAAAATAGAGAGGGTTGTGCTTTCTGACACTTGGTGAGTTCCCTGGAACACCGGGGACACATATACATGTATACAAGACGTACAAAAGTGCATTTTGCATGATACGTCACCTTTAAGAGAGAAGAAGTCTGCTCAGGAACAAACCCAAACTGTACTCCATATTTCTGTCTTTGTGCCCCTGAAAGAAACAACAGTCTGTGATTGTTCTGACATGTTTCCCCCCTCTCCCCCCCTCACAGTCTGATCACTCACGGGTTCGGGACGCCGGCGGTCTGTGCCGCTCTCAGCACCTTCCAGACGGTTCTGAGTGAGATGCTCAACTACCTGGACAAAAGCTTGGGCGGGAAGACGAGCGGACCCAACGACCAGCAGATCAACAACAGCTCAGAGAAGACGCAGCTCCGGAAAACAGCGGAGCCCCAGAGCAAAGACGGGAAAACAGAAAAGACTGAGTAGCCCACTCCCACCGTCCCCGTGCCTTGGAGCGCTGCATTTAGGAGAGTGTGTGTGTGAGAGAGAGAGAGTGTGTGAGAGTGCATTGTCAGAAAGGATTTGTTAACTCGTGTGTCTTCTTCTGTGGGACTAACCATCTTTATTATTATAATTTATTTATCTTATTTTGAAATGTAACACTAACCTGAACTGTCCCAAACAAGAAGTCCTGCTGTGTGTGTGTGTGTGTGTGTGTGTGTGTGTGTGTGTGTGTGTGTGTGTGTGTGTGTGTGTGTGTGTGTGTGTGTGGTGTGTGTGTGTGTGTTGTGTGTCGGACAAGGAGGAGCAAGGCATGGAGACGGCTATGATTCAATCCAAGCTTTTATTTGTTAATTTCTTAATTCTATAAACAGGAAGTAAACTGGACATGACTGACATCACGTTTCAAGGACAGGGAGTGCGTGAACTGCCAACACAACATTAAACCACACTTACACACACACACACACACAACAACCAACCACACACACACACACACCCTGTACCTGTGAGAGCTGTACATCAGTCCATATCAACCAGTTGTTTACCATGTGGGCGACAGAGAGGCAGACACTGTTCTTGGATCAGAGACTGACAACCACTGCCTGGGTTAGGGCTACACTGTGGTTGTTGTGGTGTGTGTTGTGTGTGTGTGGTGTGTGTGTGTTGTGTGTGTGTGTGTTGTGTGTGTGTGTGTGTGTGTGTGTGTGTGTGTGGTGTTTTCGTGTCGAGAGAGAGAGAAAGGACAGACGTGAGAGCGAGAAAGAAGGGCCATCTCCAGGCCATTTTGTAACAGGTGACTCTGCGAGTTGCCGTCCTTCCTCTTCCTGTGCATTGTCTATCTTTTACACACTCCCCAGATCGCAAGTTTAGCCGCACAAGCTCTCTGACTTCGCTCGTATGAACATTTGAAAAATGATATAAATATTTAAATTACTTTTCTTGTAGCTTTCAACTATATATATGTTAAATCCTACCTTCTTAAAATGCTGGTGTCAATAAAGACAGTTGTACGTGTTCTACTATTTCACTCTGGTTTCATGATGGTACTACCACACACACACAACACACACGACATCACACCACACAAACACAACACACACAACACACACACACACACACACACACACAACCACAACACACACAACACACACACACACACACACACACACACACACACCACACACACACCACACACACGACACACAGCATGCTTTTAACATTACAGAAGTGACAAGAGCCAGTGAGTGTGAGAATGATCCATACAAGTTCACAGGATGTTCAAATTATAAGTCACTGGTTTCTCTCTATGTGTGAAAAAGGCTTTACCGTACACAAAGTCAAAGCCTCCTTTGTAGACAGCTGAGCATGTTGTTTCCTTTTAGTTTGAGCACTTCTTCCGCTTTTCTGCTGTATTTATTTGATGATGAGTAAATCAGAGGGGAAGCTGCTGCACTCTTATATATTTTCCCTCATTAAAAAGAGGTCACGTTCACCGCACAACACAAACCCATACATAATCGACAGTGATGCACTTTACAGTGATGCTGCCGCCGGTGGTTCACCCTGACTCAATGCACAATGGAGCCTCAGGTGGAGGAGTAATAGCAAGGCAAGAGAGAGGATGCACGGTGCACAACGCCAGTATGCATTCCCGTCATGTGTTATTGTTTGGTCTGCTTTCTTGACAGATGTGTGTTATCCAATGATACACACACATAGCACTCAATGGTGTTATGGGTATCTGAGGACAAAGCTGAGCCATTGTTGATGTGGGAATGCATCGTGACAAATAGCAGGTTTTTTTTTTTAAGAGCACACTAGGATGATCACAATTACAATTTGTGTAGACATACTGACACTGCAGTATTTCTGTCATGCGAGTGGTTTCTCTCCAATATAAGGAAGCATAAGGATCAAAGCAAAAACATGGCAACGTAAAACCACGTTCATTCTACAATACCGTGATATGCAGCACATCTGGCGGGCATTTTTAAGTGCCAGAATGTCCCTTTTGTGCTGACATTATCCTTTGACAAGTCCTTTATCAAGTCAAAAACCATATCATTATCTCCTTCTCTGTTTGTGGTGTCTCACATTCGCTGTTTTTCTCCTGAAGTTTCCATCAACGCAAACAGAATATTGGTACATTTCTTGGCCTGTTTGGACAAAGAAGCAATGTGACATATACCTCGGCTTTCTTTGTAAAAGGCAGATTTCTACTATGTTCTGAAGCTTTAGGGACTAAAAAGCGTAACTGGACACCTTATCATGATGAACTGCATTGCCCTGTTTTGTTTATAATCCTCATTTCGCCTTCTAGTGATATGCAATTATTGTTAGTAACGTGATCTACTTAGATCAGGGGTGTCAAACTCAAACACAGCAGTGGGGCAAAATTACAAAATAGGTCTAGCTCGAGGGCGGACTGGTTCCAATTTTATTGAGAA